GATCCACCGAACAAAATATGGCCCGGCCCAGCTCAAGATTGAGTAGGACGTGGCCGTGGATTAGCTATGGCCCGGCCCGTTAAACGCCCAGCTCAGCGGGTATAGGAGAATGGGACTGAGCAGCTCGGGTTTCTGGCACTCCGCCGTCGCAACCACACCAATCCCCGTCGCCGCGCGATGTCCTCGCCACCTGCGCATCCGGACGCCGGCGACCCAACGTCGCCTCCGGACGCCAGGGACCCACCTGCGCATCCGGACGCCGGTGACCCAGCGTCGCAGCCTGTCTTCCCCGACGAGATCCTTGAGGAGATCTTCCTCCGCCTCGACGCCATGGAAGACATCGCCCGCGCGTCCGCCGCCTGCACCGCCTTCCGCCGCGCTAAAAAGCCAGGCTAAATAGTAATGTTCGCTGATTTGATTGTGAAGCCAAGGCTGATAAGTTCAAACAGGACAAAAGTGTAAAAGTAGTCCCAGTCATCGTAAGAGTCTGTGTTGGCGATACATGGAACCATGTTCCCTTGATATAAATCCCCAAGAGAATTTGGTAACTTTTGGCCTTGCAATTGTAGATGGTATCTTAGCCCCCACTCTCAACTTCTAACCTGTGGAGAGCTTAATTGTACCTGAAGTCATATATGCGCACTGGTGAACTTTTACTAATCATGTCTGGGAAATGTAACTGACCTTTTCAACTTTCTGTTAGTCAGTTGCTTTTGTGGGTAGTCTGTAGGTTGCATTATTTATGGAGTGGCATTTGTGTACTCCATAGCCTGTTATAATTACCTGTGGTTGCGGAGCATTGGACAGAATTTTGTCCGTCTGCTAATGTAGTCGGCCCTTGTTTAGATTGTAAGTTTTTTCACTCTCTTTTCATCACATCAAATCTTTTGACATATACATGTAGTATTAAATGTAGATGAAAAAATAACTAATTATACAGTTTGATTGTAAATTACGAGACAAATCTTTTGAGCCTAGTTAGGCCATGATTGGACAATAATTGTTAAATACAAACGAAAGTACTACAGTGCCAAATACTTATTCCTAACCACAATCTAAACATGGCCTCAGTCGGCTGCGATGCTATACTACACACATACATGCATATTCTAATATGCTAATGAAGTGAAGCTTTATTTGTCGGCAATGAAGGTGAGCCCATGTTGGATCAGCCGCGAACAATCTTTGGTATGTCTACACTCCTGACACATTGATCACGAGCTCTGGACTCTCAGGGTCATCAGAGGAGACAACTCCGTTCAGGTTCTCGGACGTGAATGTTGTGTGTTCAAGCTGTTAGTAGTTTGTACCAATGTTTGTGCACTTCAGGTCCTCACGACCTCACCTCTCTGCAGGTGACCAGAGCGATGCCATGTAAAGTACAAGATGTTTGGTATATTAGCAAAAATTGATATTATACTTGCAAAAATCATGAGCTCTGTCTCGGTGGAACATGACTGTCAATCATCAAGTATCATGTGGTTTTGCTCATAGTATTTGCCAAGTTTTTGCCCAAATTTCACGGCCTAGAATGGTGGTAATTAATTACCAGCGCAAAGTAAAAAGTATATATACTGCCCCTCAAAGAAAGAAGTATACATACTGCACAAAATACAGAGATGGGCTGTAGTTACCAGCTAGCTCAAGCTTGAGTAGGCCCAGCCCATATTACATGGCCGTGTCGATTAGGTATGGTCCGGCCCGTTAAATGCCCAACAGCCCAGGTTTCTGCGCGATGTCCTCGCCGCCGACCTAACAGCCGGTACGTCCGGCGCCTACGGAGTCCAGAGATTCCTTGCTCCAACCGGCGAGGAGGAGGGATCGTCGTTTCGAGTGGTCTGGATGACTCCTGGGAAAAGGAAGGCGACTGCCTTCATTTTCTCTTCAGCGACCGGGCAATGGCGTAGAGTCACATTCAATGGTTGGAATGGATATTGTACTGTCATGTTCACAACTTGCCGCTACCACCCGCACAGAAGCCTCTACAAGACATCTGGGTTGTTCAGTGAGGTACTCATGCTTGACACACACAAGATTGTATTCTCCGTGGTACGTACCCCTCGTGTCCGCCACTTGTGACTGCACGCCATTGTGGAGGCAGGGGAAGGGAGGCTTGGTTTCTTAACCATTGGTGATGGCATGTTAGACCTTTACTGTAAGGCTTGGCAAGACAATGGCGTTAGTGCAGAAGAGTGGCAGCATGAAAAGACAATCCCAATCCCTTGCTCGACTCTGACAGGTATTACATCAGCCAACTTTGATAAAAAGGCTTAAGTGTTTGTGCTTTTTTATTGTTTTAATTTTTAGTTTTTTCTGGCGACACATATGGCTCAGATTAGATACCCAACTTTGATAAAATGGGCGTATCCAATGCAGAGAGCTCCCGCTCTGTGCGGGGTCTGGGGAGGGTTGTCAGTGGCAAGCCTTACCCTCGCCTGCAATGCGAGGAGACCGTGACTCGAACCCGGGACCTTCCGGTCACAGACGGTAAGACTCTACCGCTTGCACCAAGCCCACCCGTCAGATACCCAACTTTGATCTTAGAAGAAATTGTAACACATTCAGGCAATTTTGATTCCAATTCTTGCAAACATGCAAAGAAGTGAAGGGACTTGCAATTTTGATCCCTGCGCCTTTTCTTTGACTCTTCAGCGTACTTTTTTCCTACCCACCAGCCAGCAGTCGGTCACATAGCCTACCATGCCAGCCAGGTCGTCGCTTTTGTGTTTCTGCACTACTTAAGCACTGCCTCACACCTACTTGCACCGCCTAGACGTGTCCGAGTTTTATTGACGCCTGTGCCCTAAACGAGACTCTAGGAGCTGTTTGAGTTTAATCGAGAGTAAACCTAAGTTTAATTAGGTTTTTAGAACCATGTGGTCAACCTAACATTTGTTGCATACTTCTGAAATTGGCGATATGCTATGGGAACTTTTTTATTATTTCTGAAGTATCCTTTGCAACTTCTAAGTCCTTTTGTGACACTTTTTGGTGTACCCTGTAGGATGTAGGTAACATTGGTAACTACAACTCTTTTTTGTGACACTTTTGGTGTACCCTGTAGGATGTAGGTAACATTTGTTGAGTACTACAGTCTAGAGCAGACAAATGTGTGTTTTCTTCAAGGGCTGGAGCAGACAAATATGTGTTTTCTTCAACGGCTGAGCCAGCGGTGTGACGGCCGGGCCCCAGCCCCTACTGCTGCCATGCCCATGGAGACCCCTCCCCCCCCCCCCACCCCCAAAAAAAAAAAGTTTTAGCCAAGGAAGCTTTGTGAGGAGAGTTTGAAGCTCTGTAGGAGGGGCTGAAGGTTGAAGAAGACGTGTAGTTAAAGATCTTGGGCTTAGGGGCTCCAATTAAGTGCAGTAGAAAGTGAAGCCCACCAACTACTAAGCCCAACTGAAATGACCAAGGCCCAACACTAACTAGTCCCAACGGTTGCGGCTTGTTTAGGTGCTCAGCTTCCCTATTCCTAAACCTGGCGTGGCGGCGGCTGGCTCCCAACGACATTCGACAAATGCCGAGACGTGGAGGATAAACCCAAGCGCGTGGCGGAGATCGGCGGATGCAAGTGTGTGGCAGGGCGAGGCCAGTGCAACGTGGTCGCGCGACCTGGGAGGCGTGAGGGATGCGGGGCCAGCGGCCACAAGCAAGCGCGCCGCGCGCACGCTAGCTGCTCGGCCAGGGCTGCAACCCGCAGAGTGAGTCCGCATCCAGCGAGTGGGCGACGAGCGTCTGTGGACCAAGTGCCCAAAGGCATGTTGTTATTGTTGCTGTATGATTTCTAGTTTCTCAATTTTATATTTGATGGTGGGTGGTTCATGATCTGGAATCATGAGTTCATGACCCAAAAAATTCATCTGCTAGGTGATGTTCTGTGCGCTAAGAATCAACTGCCTGCCATTTAAGTTTGGATGTTGCATACTTTACTTGCTCTTGGATAGTAATTTGAAAAATCTCACCTGATGTACCGCTACCATCTACCAGTATCAGGGCATTAAAATAATAGTCGACTTCTATTTGATTGTTACTCTGAATAAATGCACATATCTTACTTAAAGCGACAATATTGGACATTGTCCCTGAAAATCTCACCTAATGCGCTACAAGCAGCTAGCAGATGATAAGTAATAACCCAATGTGCTAATAATAGTCAATTGCCATTTGCGTTTAGACTCTGAATAATTGCATGCCCCTATTACTGAAAGCCCTGTGTGTGTGTGTTTTTTTTTTAATTCGGAAGCACTACTTTTGTTTATGTTGCATATTCTTGTACTCAATAAATGTGTAGTCATAAATCATAGCATGAACTTTACGGCTTCAGGAGTCTTGACACATTGATCTGGACTCAAGGGGCCTGCAAATATTAGATTATAAGAGTGATTTTTACTAGCCCATTTCTAGACATGTTGAAACTCCTTGAACAGTGGAGAGTTAAAACTAACCTTAAACAATGGAAACTATTGTTCGATAAATGGTGCTAATAATGCTTTAGCGCTGGCACTGGACGCAAATACATTGAAAGCCATCTCTTCTGCCGCTGATCAGCTGATGTTTAATTCGAGAATATACTGCCTTTGGTGACACTGATTTCCGCGCTGTCACTGATGCAGCGTTTTTGAAATATTTTGGAATAAAATCCCTGTGATGTCTCGGTGGAACATGACTGTCATTTATCTAGTCACATGTGGTTTTGCTCTTATTTGCCAAGTTTTTGCCCAAATTTCACGGCCTAGCATGGTAATTATAAATCTAGTAAGTCTCCTTGCGCAAAGTAAATAAAAATATATTATATACTTTACAAAATACAGCAATGGGCTGTAGTTACCAGCGCAAGCTTGAGTAGGCCCAGCCCATAATACGTCGCCGTCGATTAGGTATGGCCCGGCCCGTTGAATGCCCAACAGCCCAGATCTCAGTGGGTACAGGAGAGTGGGACTGAGCAGCTCGGGTTTCTGGCACTCCGCCGTCGCAACCACACCAATCCCCGTCGCCGCGCGATGTGCTCGCCGCCGCCGCCTCCGGACGCCGGCGACCCAGCGTCGCAGCCAATCTTCACCGAAGAGATCCTAGGTGAGATCTTCCTCCGCCTCGACACGGCGGCCGACCTCGCCCGCGCGTCCGCCGCCTGCACCGCCTTCCTCCGCGTCGTCCGCTTCCTCCGCCGCAACCGATCCCTCTACCGCCAGCCCGTCATTGGATTCCTCGAGTGTGCAGGTCGCACTCCCTTCCACACTCTCTCCTTCTACCATGCCCAGCCGCCGCACCGCTCCGCCTCCTCCGCTCGCGGCCTCGCGGAGGCCGCTGATTTCACCTGCTCCTTTGTCCCCGACCCCGGCTCCTGGCTGCTCCACGACGCCACCGGTGGCCGCCTGCTCCTGTGCTCGGATTCCTCCGACAATACGACCGACTTCAAGGACCTCGTGGTGTGCGACCCCTTACAGCGCCGGTATGTCCAGATTCCCTCTGTCCCTGTCGACCTAACAGCCGGTACGTTCACGTCTGGAGCCTACTACCATTTCCCGAGTTTTTTCGCTCCAACCGGCGAGGAGGGATCGTCGTTTCGAGTGATCTTGATGATTTATGATTATGACAAAATGAAGGTGACTGCCTTCGTTTTCTCTTCAGCGACCAGTCAATGGCGTCGAGTCACATTCGATGGATGGAAAATGAATGGATATATTACTTTCGTGCTCACATCTTGCTGCTACCACCCGCACATAAGCGTCTACAAGACATCTAGGTTGTTCAGTGAGGTACTCATGCTGGACACTCACAAGATGGAATTCTCCGTGGTGCGCACCCCTGTCCTCCGCTTCAGACAGCATGCCATTATTGAGGCAGGGGAAGGGAGGCTTGGTTTCTTAACCATTGGTGATGGCATGCTAGACCTCTACTGTAAGGCTTGGCAAGACAATGGTGTTAGTGCGGAAGAGTGGCAGCATGAAAAGACAATCCCAATCCCCTTGCCCGACTCTGACAGGTATTCCATCAGCTTCTGTGGTACAGGCGATGGCTACTTACTCATTCAAGCTATTCCACCAGACTCAGCTGAGCTCGAGCATATGCCTGAGATACACTATTTCACGCTACACCTCAAAACATTAATGGTGGAGAGATTGTGCATGTTGAATAAACGCGTTTATTTTGCTCATCTTTATGCAAACTTCCTACCACCGTTGTCGCTGCCAAGTGTATGAAATGCGGAATGGTAAGAATCTTCCTTGTTTTCTTCAGTCATTTGGAGTTACTTTATGTTGTTGACATGCTCGTTCATCCAACTTATTTTCATAGTGCACTTAGTATTGTTGCATCAACATCATCTTGTCTCCACTACTATCACCAAATCTCCATTAATTTCGCTCACCAGCAGTTTGATTTGTTACATATATGACTGTATTTCACATGCTGTTTTTAAAATCTAAGGGAATGCTATTATTACTATTTGCTAAATTGCACAAAAATCTAGTATTCTTATTCTGACAAACAGTTTTTCACTGGTAATATTCAGTTTTAGCACTTCTAACATTCTTTAGCATACTGTCTATGGGCGATTGTGTGTATCTGCACACTTTCACATTCAAACCAAACAAGATTGAATGGTAATATCATAGATTCATAGTATGTTTTGTGGACCTATGGAGAGTTGAATTGTATATGAGGCCACATTGCTTTGGTGTGTAGCTATATCTGTTCTTTTCTTTAATCTGGTGCCTGCACAAGTTTACTTGTCTACTTGACATCTGTTGCGTACTTCTGAAATTGTGGATAGGCTATCCAAACTTTTATTATTTTCTGAACTATCCTTTGCAACTACAACTGCTATCGGAACTTTTATTATTTTCTGAACTATGCTTTGCAATTGCAACCCCTGTTTTGTGACACTTTTTGGTGTACCCTGTAGGCTGTAGGTAACATTTGTTGAGTACTACTGTAGATAGACACACATGCCTTGTCTTTGTTGGAGTGAATGGAATGGAGTTATCCGTAATTGAAAACCCTACCTGATTCCTGTTCAAAAGTTCCATATGTTTGCCCTGAATAGAATGAATATTTTGTTTTTGTGGGCATGATGGCATATGGCCACTTGAAACTGCATGTGAATCCATTTGGAAACAATTAATGTAGTTTACTTTAGCATGATGATTCTGACAGTGTGATCTTTGGCATGTCTTCTCTCTTGACACAGTGACCAGGACGTTTCAATGGGGACGGCTGCCTGCATCTTGTTTGGCTTCAGTATACCACGGACCACGCAAGATATTACTGCTACTGCCTACTGGCAATGACGCCACCTATCTGTGGTTCAATTAGCTGATCCCTAGCTGTTTGTTTCTGCCGTTGTGTCCCTTCAGCCCTTTTGCTGCATGCTGGAGGCTGGAGCTATTTGGTCTGTATTCTGGATTTGGGGCGCTTAGGTCCTCGCTAATGTATGCTCTTTAAGTTTGTAGTTTGTACTCATTAAGGTTTGCCCAATAGAATCCTGGTACACTAGTAGAGATGAAAAGGATGTGGGGTTTGCCTCTCGTACATTGATCAAATCTTGTTCTTTGTCCTCTTTTAACCTGCTGTCATCGCACAATAAACTTGCCGTTTTCTCTCTGTGGATGATTTGAAGCCACTTGGTGAGCATTGTACAATGCCCAGTTTGCAAAGAGTCCCAGAAATTATGAACTCACCTCTGTTTGTAGTACGTGGTTGTGTTTGAGTGAAGAATGGTGTGATTTTGTTTGCACCTGGCATCTAGTGTTCATTGTTTGAATTTGCGACAAGGCTAACATGCACTTTCACTATGTACCAAGCTGTAAGTTTCAAAAAAAGAAAAATTAAGATATGTCGTGAAAACCATGCCAAACTACTTTGTGAGGTCTCTAAGTTTCATGAGGTTTTGCCCGGATTTCATCAGTGTAATAAAGTAACTTATTATTCATTGCCCGGAGCCAAAAAAAAAAAAGTGGAAACTTTTGTACAAATACTGGTTTATAAAGAGATATAAAAAGGGTCATTTTATCTGGCACAGTTAAATTTATGTACAACTCTAATTCGCCGTCGAACAGATCCATTTATAGTCGGTTCATTTATACCAAGCACCCTCGTTTAACTTTTAATCAACTATTCGAAATTAGCTCGTTTCGAATTCCAAAAACGACGAGTGTAATCGATGAACAATCTAAAAAATGAAGATCAATTTCGGAAACAAGCCTTTGAATCTGGGAAAAATTTAAGATCAAAATTCCACAGCAAGTCTGTGAATTCGGCACAATCTCTTTCGTTAATTTAATTTAAAAAAAGAAAAAAACAAACAAACAACGAGCCCAGTAAACGAACTGGGCTTTCTTCCCAGGTCATCCTTTGGCCCAACACGGCCCAACAGGATAGCTCTGGAAAGTAGCCCAACAGGATAGCTCTGGAAGTTACCCTTGCCGCCTGTCTCCCCCGCGCGCGATGGCGGCGACTCCGGCGAGCGGCGCGTACTCGTGCGAGACGGCGGAGCGGACCCGCGAGTGGATGGAGGCCCTGGCCTACTTCCTCCGCCGCCACCGCCCGCTCCTCGAGGCCCACGTCGTCAACTTCTTCAAGGTCCTCATTTCCCCCCGTGAATTCTTCGGAGGCTCGTCGGCCGATTGGAGGGTTTGTTTGCTGAGAGTTTGTGGTTCGGCTCGCGCAGGGCAGGTTGTGGGAGCTAGTGGACGCCGAGTGGATGGAGTGCCTCCGGCGGGAGCCCGTCGAGAGCTTGCTCAAGCTGCCATCCGGATGCGTCCAGGTAGTCCAAGTCCATCGTTGCTAGTTTATGCCCTTGCCAGTTTGACTTTGATGTATCTTACTTTCTATTGGTTTGAAGGAGCACTGGCCTGCTACACTGCGAGAGTTTGTGCTTACTGCTAGGTCGCTTGTTATTCCACGGGAGCAGAAGGCTCCGCAATCGGTTGGTTTCCTGAATAAAATTATATTATCATTTATCAACTAAACTCGGTGCAGGTTGAACACTGAGAATATTGTGTTTCAGAAGCATTTGAGTTTGTGCACTTTATATCCAAGTTTTCTGTAGGCGCTCCACTTGCAGTCATGTTGCTTGGTTTCAGTGCACAGAATAATTCAGTACATCAGATTAGTTTTTCTTAATATCTGTTTGCATTCCATACTTGGATCACCTTGCTATCATTTTGGTTAAGAGATTGTCAATTTTGTCGATCTGCTTTAGTCTTAATATGCTTTTTTCCTTGAAAATTTGCAGCTTGTATCTGATATTCATGTAGCCCCAATTGGTACTGTTCTCGCTCAAGGCATGAACTCAAAGAAGAAGCATGAAGTAGGTAATCCGGCTTCATACTGATTGTTTAACTTGCAATGTTCTCTTATTTATGTGCAAATATGTTGTTATTTTCATTTGTTTTTTGCACTCTCATGTTTGAAGAAATTGCTTTATTCAGATTGAAAATCTAGCTGCGGTGGTTCATGCAATTGCAAAGAAGTGTGGAGCCAAGACAGTGGTTGATGTAGGTTCTGGGCAGGTATGTCATATGCATGCAAGCATCTGTGCAATTGTAGCCAGATTTCAAGTGGACATAATTGTGTTTCTAATACTTGGACAATTGCCATCCCTCTTGATTCCTTTTGGTTGTGAACTTGTGATTGTGCCATCTTAAATATTATGCTTATATATTCATCACCAATCCTGAGCAGGAATGTCCCAATCGATCCAGCTAAATATACTGGTCCTCGAGGAAAGGCCATATGCTGTGCTTTATATATGTCCATATTTCAACTATGCCTTTATTGCATGATACTTTGGAAGTCATGAGCTAAGAAGCCAAACTATGGACTGTTTCACTCATTTTCAAATAGTCATAATCTACAAAGAACATGGCCTATACGGGCTTGTCTATTATTTTGTTGACTTTATTTGCAAATTGGAACCAAATGCACAAGTCAAGCCATTTGGTTTTTGTTGTAGACATGTATGGCAATGCCTTGTGTTTTCTGTTGCTGTTAAATGAAAGAAATGATTGGCTTTAACCTAGTTTCTGCAGTAATGTGTTATGTCATGTATTTATCTTTTTTCTCATCTTATTTGATATTATCAGGGTTATCTCGCACAGTCTTTGTCTTTTGAGTACCAACTCCCTGTTGTAGCGATAGATGCTTCATCACACCATGCATCAGTTACAATTGCTCGTGCAGAGAGAATAAAGAAGCACTATGCTGCTAAATGGTGCGACCTTCATCAAGTTTAGTTTCAGTTCTACTACCTTTGGATTCATATCTAATGCTTTAAATTTGTGCCTATTATTTTTTTTAGTGTGGAGAAGCAACTGCTCATGGTACCTAGGACTGTCACCTGTCATGTTCTTTCTAGTGACACATTGGCAGCAGTCACGTTAGATGCATGTAAGGATGACCATGGTGAACATGTGAGAGAAACTAAGGCATCTACTAAGAAAATCACTCAAATCCAGGAACCAACTCAAGGCAGCCCTCCATTAATCCTAGCTGGTCTTCATGCATGTGGTGATCTTTCAGTTAACATGCTAAGGTTGGTGTTTGCGAAGTATGAGAACATGGCCATGGAGCGTGGTCCTTTCTCCAAGCTTGCTAAATGTTGCATCTTGAATAAAAGCAGTTTGTACCTTGATGAAAGTCTTTAAAATGTTACTATCTTTTTAAACAGAGTTTTTGTGTCCTGCGAACAAGTAAAAGCATTGGTAAGTGTTGGGTGCTGTTACAACTTGCTTTCTGAGGATTCTAATGAGGGCACAGACACCTGCCCTGGTTTTCCTATGAGCAAGGCTGCCAAACTGTCTGAATTGGTGCTTGGGAAAAGCATCCGTGACCTTGCTTGTCAGGTATGATAGCAGTTCATGATCTAGTGTTGCCTTCTGATTTTTGAAACATCTCGTATTGTTGAAATTCATGTTTGAAGGCACTCAGCATAAACAAGATACTAAAGGAGTTATCTGTTTGGTGGAGTTAGAAATAAAAAATCCTCACAAGCTTATCGAAGTTTTGTGTTTCCTCTGTGGATACTTGTATGGTCTGCAATTTTGTGGCTTAAACATTATTTTCCTAAATTACAGGATACTTATCTTTGCCTCTGCAAGTTTTTTTTATTAATCTGTTTTATGTTAGGTATATGCATTTAATATTGCATTATAGAGCTAATAGTTACTTGTCCTAATAAAAGTAAAAATTAATTGCATTATTTTGTGACATCACTTGTGTGTTAGGTAGTTAGTGTACTTTGATTGTATCTCTAGTTTGAATTGATTAATTGCAAGCATGATTCTTTTTTACATTTTTTGTGTACAATACTATTAAGGATTCATCCTTTAAAATTATCCAAATCGAGTGATAGTTTTCTATAAAGCTCTTTATTTAATATATTTTAAATCGTGTTAGAGCGCAGAGAGATGGAGAAATCTCACCATGGACATTGCAGTGCAAAATTTTGATGTACATGCCTTCCGAGCTGCATTTCAAATGGTAAATATTGTTATTTCTAAACAAATGTTTTGTCAACCTTTTCATTTATATAATTCTTTGGCTATTTCACTCGATGCTTTATGTTTAGTCACTTCATTTATCCTCATGTTCAATGCTGTCTGAAGAAAGGTTCTGGACATAGTGGACTTGTTGATGAGTATGTGTTCTTGTTTACCTAGTTGCATTGTATCAGCAGTTCATTCATTTAAATTTAGACTTCGTGCTATGCATTCTTATCTGTGCTTAAGCAACAGTTTGAATGTAATATTCAGCTAGCTTGAAGCCTTGAAGAACATGACACTTTAAGCTGGCTTATAGACTGGTCACCAGCAGCAGCTTTTGTGACATTCCCAATTTACTTAGTGATGATTACCTAGAAATCTGACATAGCTTTCTAGGAAAGACCACATAGTTTATACATTCACCACACATGCCGATAAGTACCAATTGTTGGTTCTTGTATGACATCAGTGCCAAATGTTTAGGTGTATTATTTTTGGTTTCCTGTTTAGAGTACATAGTCGCGCCTTGGGCCTTGTGCATATGGAAGTGGGTTGATGGTCCATAAATATGTTGAATATAATTTCAGGTTAGAAGTTTTTTGATGTTGATAGTACATGAAGATACCTTTCGGTTTTGGATTTGTAAAATAGCAATTTGTTTTTTGTATCATTCAAATTTATGGCTTCACTTGATTATATGTTTTTGCTCTAGGTACTTGAGAAATATTTTCCAGAAGTGTCAAGGTTGAGTCCATCAATTGGAAGGCAAGGAAAAGCTCTTCGACGTCAGCGGCTTCGGAAAGTTGTGGAATCACAAATGACTACAGAGAAAAGTGATGATTTCTCCTGTTCAACTTTAAAGGAACAAAACAAGAATGCAAATGATGTTGATTCAGTCATATATGGAGTTGACACGGGCCAGATGACATCCATCATAATGCATGTCAAAAGTTCACCCTGTTCAAAGATTTCACATTATCTGGATTAGGTCGCTTTGGCTGTGGCTCAGTGGAAGACTCACATCTTCTTGAAATATGGAAGGACGTGCAACCCTTCTCTGTAGGTTTTATCAGTACACCCTTTTATTATCTATCTTGTTATTGTATTGTTCCATGTACTGATTATTTTCAGTTATTTGTTCGTTGTCAATAGAAGCAAAATTATTTGTTATTTATTCTGTCTTTGTCTTGTATGATGCGTTAGGTAAGCAAGTCCTTGGTACACATTGATAAGTATGCTTGCTGAGGTCATTTCAGTTTTAATACACTAGTGTGGAAATCCTGTAAAGGCCCATCGTGCCTATCAGTTTCTTCAATGGTACTTTAAATTGGAATTACATCACTGTGTTTCTGGTAGGTGTGTTGGTGGAGCATGTATCAAAAGAGTTATGCAAAGCGTAGTAAAGTTTTATGTTTTTATACTGGAAGAAGAGAAATGTAAAGGCAAATTAAAGTGCATGTTGCTTATATGACAGTAATCTAGAACGAGATAAGTACAATATGTTATGCCTTGCAGTAGTGGAGATATTGTTAAGGTATAATAGTCAAGAGTATTAGTGTAATCTTCTAGTCTAGGGTTTCCCTCCTATGTCTCTCATGTATTCTATATATAGTCCCCATTAGGTCTCAATATAATCATCAAATTCAATCTCCCTTATTCGTAACTGATATCATATATGATATTATGTTCATACAAACCATATAAATGTGCACAACAGCTAATAAGAAAACATGTCCCTCCACATGCTTTTCCAACTGCTTTATATTCATAAAATAAAAGCATAGTGGTTTAAATATGACTGCTTTCCCCCTGATATTATAATACCTAAAGGTACACTCTATCATATCAACTAATCTGACTGTTTTTCTTATTCTTGCAGGAATATATAGGTCCCTTTTGGTGCCTTCGGGCTGCTTTGGGTCCACTGGTTGAAACATATATTTTACTTGATCGGTTATTGTATCTTCAAGAGCGAAGCAACCTAGTTGAAGCATTGCTGTTTCCCCTATTTGATCCTACCATTTCCCCAAGGAACATGGCTGTAATTGCTTGGAAGTTATCTGCAAATTCTTCAGAAGCATGACATGGTAAATCTTCTGATGCAGTTGATGGGATGGTGTGTTGGTACCAAACTATAAGCCAGACTATTGTCTTATGGCAGAACTTGTCCGTTCATTAGGTTTGGATACAGTTATTGTACTTGCTGTCTTCCCATATAAAAAAAACACTGAAGATAGTCTTATCTTTGAAATTGTGAGGGCAATGCATTTCCCTTTCAAATCGCCTGGTACATATGTCTTCTTTCTCCCCTGGGCCTGTCTATATACACTTGATCCGCTTCTTTGTTGCAACCTAGCTTCTCCCAGAGTGTATTTTGCTGCTTGTGTGATGTTCAGATCTTGCAAGAATGTGGCAGGCTATCTAGCCTACTTGAGACTTTCAGTATTTCTGCACAGGTAAGAAAGAAAAACTCAAGTAGACAAGATCTTGCAAATCTAGTTGCAGGAATGTGCAAGATATTGCCCTCGAAGAGTGTGCCTTTATCCACTAAATGCTAGGTCAACAATCTATATCGATTCCATGGCCTTTAGTGCTTGCTTGTTTTTCTGAAGTGATCATGAAACAAGTTGCTATGGAACATTATCTCTCCTGCAATATGTGTATACATGCAAAAACTTGTCACATATTATCACTTATTGTTGTTACTGCTTGCTAGTTACTCCCTCCAGTTCCATAATTCTTTGTCATTTTGGGCAGCGACAATGTCTCCAAAACTTAGCTTTGACTATAATTTTCTATTACTAGATACAAGATCAACAAATATATATAATTTCATTGAAGTACTTTTAAGACTAATCTGTACATGTGTCTTAGTGCCTTCAAACTAAGTATTTGAGAAGTCATTGATAGTCTCAGTTTTAAAAGTTTAACCTGAACCTTGTCCATACAACAATAATTATGGAACTGGAGGGAGTAATAGGTATATTGTAGACTGTAGAGTGGAATGATCTTTACTTCCATATTATCCACCTGAAAGAAAAATGACATTCAGACAATAGAAACAAGAGAGGATTTTTATTCAGGTACTCCTAGGATTTTGCCTGCCTTGCGTATCCTGGTGCAACTGGTAAAGTTATGTCTGATCACAAGAACAGTGATTTGGAGTCAGTTGAGCAGTGTTGGCAGAGAGGGACAAGTGATCGTTTGAACAATGTAAGTTGCCTAACCAAATTGACTATTTACCTACAAATCTACTGTGACGTGTCATAGAAATCAAATCTAACCACATTGACAATCTTGTAGGATCTCTGATGTGACACCACAAATATGGGTAGGCTGAAAGACGACTAGCAGAAGAGGTTGACTTGCATTTTATTGAACATGTGCTGCCCACGTGGTTCCATCAGTATGTGTGTGGTTTCAGGTATGTCATTGCTTTGCTTATCCATGCATGTCATGTGTGCGTGTGTCTGGCGTGTATACATTTTTTTAGTGCTTTTTGGTGATTTGACCTGCTGTTCTTGTCATATGAGCATTTATTTAATGGGTTTTTTAATTAACTGCTCGAATTGTTTGTAGTCCACCCAGCAATTTGTGAGATTTTTCTACTCTTCTGCTGCAGGCTTGACAACTTAAATTTTTTTTTTGGTGAATTGGTACCCCGGAAAACCTTCCAGATAGAATTCTCCATGTTGACCAGTCATTTAATCGGGCTTATTCAACACTCGTGGTTTGATAGTTCAGAGGAAGGTGATGCAATCAGCAGAGGTACTAGGTGTAAAGAGGTGTATTCAAAATAATTCCTGGGCCACTGGTAGATGGATAAGATATGTACTGAGCGTGCTCTCATCATGGTAGTTCATGAGCAACAAGCTGTCATTTGTTGGATGAGATTTTACAATGGAGTTTTACTGACCGAAGCTATATCCTTGCATTGGCTTTCTATGAATCCTGTTACATTCATCCTTTTTGGCTGTATCGCCATGCAATAATTGGCTGCTTTTACTTGCATGTGTGAAAGAAACTTTGCTTACCTGGATTGCACGTGATCATGAAGGCGAGAGAGCTATGGAATCTACCCTCTTCTTTCGTCCTTGTTTTGCAGAATTCCAGCCGTTGTCATGAGAACGACGGTGCCTGTACTTCCGATGATGACGGATCAGCATCAACGTGGACACTCAGAGCCGTCGCAGCCCTTCCGTCCTCAAACCCTTATCCAGATTTGCACACCCGGAGGTGCACGGTGAAGCCACCGGTCAATTCCAGCTGCTTTTCACCGATGCAGCCAGCAGTGGCGGAGAGAGGTAATGAATGGCACACAGCTCTTGACCTGGAAGCTCCCACCCCTCGTGCTGGGCCACGGTGGCGCGATGGACTGATGGTAGCCAGCCAATATCTCATGGTGAGGTCTCGAGCATCGTTTTAACCGGGAATATGCGAGGAAAGACTGTTCTCCCGGCGCGCGCTTGGCGCGAGCTGATTGGCTGGTTTAGGTTCAAAGTTACTGGAAACGGGGTGTTAGGCAGTGGCTGTATGTGGATGAGGTTTCTGCTGTTGCTATCAGGCCCATTTCCAGGTCACTCTCAGATTGGTTAGAGAGGTAGTAGAGGTAGAGCAGGCGGGCATAAATTCCCCCATTATTGTCTGTTTTTATCGCGAGGGTCTTGCAAGAACAGTTGGTGTCTACTTCTTGGATTGGATAGATCTGCAGAATGGCATCTCTCCATTTGTTGTGTGCTGCCATCCATCTTATCGCCGCCAGCCATCCTTTTGTTTGTTTTTTTTTTCGACAGGAAATATGTGCCGAAAAGGATTTTCACTGCCTTTTGGTTTGGGGGGCTTGCTTGACTTGTCCAAGAAGACCAACCGTGGAGGAGCTTTCGGAGGAGCCACGGCCGCACTCGCTAGCTAAGTGTTGTGGGTTAGGCTGGTAGTGAGTGGCTTTGACCGTGATCGTGATCGTGTATTGGTGACTTGACTGGCAGAGGAATATCCGAATCTGGCACTGGACTGGACACCGGAGAGAGTAGAGATGTATTACTCCCTTCCATTCCATGGGTTCGTCAATTTCAGTCTTAGACGACCGGCCGGTCCTGTGTGGCTGCAAAATTCCAAGGTGGTATATATTACCTATGTTTTTTTTTACTTTTTAACAGTGTTTTCTATATAATTGTTATCAAAAAAGCTTTTTCTAAATATGTAGTTTTTTTTGTCGACAGGGCTGATTGTGACTGCTTTGTCGCGACGTGAGCCTGGGCATTGCGTTGGAGAGAGGAGACGGGGAGGAAGGATGGGATGACAAGCCGCTTGCTGGATCGGTCACGTGATGCGGCTGCGCAGCGCAACGACCGGGCCGGTGCCACCGCGGCGACGGGATCGCGCGCCCGGCCGCGCGCGCGTGGTTGGTGTGACGGTGGGCCGTACCGCGCTCATGCCTGCCCCTTGAGGCCCTGATGCATCACATGCCACTACTACGTGCACCGGCTGGCCAGCTACGTGAGCTTGCTTCTCACCGAGATGAGAAGGCGAGAAGAAAATGGCGGCCAGCTCCGGGCGCGTCACGGCTTCGACGCGCGCGCGGCGCGGCCCCTTGCGCGTCGCCCGATCGGGCAGCCGTTGCGCGTCCCTCGCCAGAGCTGGGGCGCGCGTGTCGCCTTCTCTGCTACGCCACGTGTCTGCGTGAGAGCGTGCAAGGTCGTATAGTCCTAGCCCAGTCATTTCGCTTGAGTTTTACGCGGATCTCGAGGGATTCTATGGAAAATTCTCCTGTGTCTGGTGATGTTTTAAAATTCAAACAAGTTTGAGGGATGTTTTAAAATCGGATTGAATCATGATTTTTATATGAGTAAATTACACGGCCGGTCCTTAAAGTATTGGACGGATTTTATCTGGGTCCCCAAACTACGAAATCGCACGTTTAGCTCTCTAGTGTATTTAAGTGGTCTCATCTAGGTCCAAAATAGACACGAGGAGGGTTTGAAACTGACGTGGTCGTCCATGTGGACATGATTTAACCCAGTCACCACTACCTTGATGGCTGGAAATTGACCTTGCCGAGGCGGTGGTTGACTGATGACGTGGCGTATCCTAATTGGAGAAAAGGGTGCTGACTCGGCTGGTCCTTTGACTTTGTTGACCATTGGTCAACAAGCAATCTGGACCGTCGGTTTTGGATCGGGCGGTGTAGTAGGAGTCGTCCTCCCATGTAGCTGCCAAGCAGGGTGCTCTCGGCGGCGTCCTCGCGAAAGTCGAGGTGACGGCGCTTCTGGCGGCCGATGATCTCCCATGAAAGTGGCGAGGCGGGAAGAGGAGGCCATAGCGAGTCGTCTGCAAGCGATCTCGACAAGGGGAGGCGATGGGGAAGGGAATCGAGGCGGTAGGGGTGGACGGTGGCAATATGGGAGCTCCGTTGAGGTCGGGAATGGAGTTGCTTGGCTCGGATTGACGCCGTGGAGTGGTGTAGAGGCCTCGTCATGCATCTCGCGAATCCAACGGAGGAGGAATCGAGTCCGGAGGTGAGTGGGGAGGAGATCGGGAGCTCGGCTTCATGCTTGGTGGTATGGCGGCGGCGACGGCGGCGGATTGGTGACTGGAGTGAGAGAGAGGTCATAGGGAGGGGTGAGGTGGCGTGACGCAGCAGCAGCAGTAGGCGGCAAGTGGCAGGCGGTGGCGCAGCAGCAGCAGGTGCGTGGTCGAGCCGCCGCCGCTCTCCCATGGTCGCCGCCCTAACATAACGACAAAGCCCCGCCACGCCGCGCGACGCGGCGTGGCGGCGGCGGCGCTGATGTTGGCGGGAACACGCCGCCGCCCCGACACGACGGCGCGGCCATCGCCCCCCACGCTCTCGCATGCCAGCGACAGCTAGAGCTGGAAGATGGGGCTGACACGTCGGCCGCCTTGGCAGTGACTGGGCTGGAAGATCCTGGCCATGCACGCCACGCCTCAGGTTTCTGTGCTTAAATCATGTCCATGTGGACGACCATCTCAGCTTTTAACCCTCATCGTGTCTATTTTGGACCTAGATGAAGCCACTTAAATACACTAGGGAGCTAAACGTGCGATTTCGTAGTTTGGGGACCGAGATGAAATCGTCCAATACTTTAAGGATCGGTCGTGTAATTTACTCATTTTATATCTTTTGTTTGCATCATGTGGGACATGATCCGAATGCCATGGATTTGTGCCAAATGCATTCGGCCGAATGTTAAGAGGTCAAACATAGTTAGCTAGATGTCCATTATGTCCGGATATATTGTAAAAGTGGTGTATCTACAAAAATCAAAACCATTTACTTTTGGGAACACAGAGAATATTGTCGTCTTATGGCCCCGTTCGCTGGTCTGAACTTTGGCTGAAACTGGCTGAAAAACACTGTTCCGGCTGAATTGTTGTGAGAGAAAAACACTGATCCGGCTGAAAAAATAAGCCGAACAAGCCAAATTTAAGAGAAGCGAACGAGACCATATATGGCCAAGATCACGTCGCTGATCTCGAGGAGTTTCATGCCTATGGAGTGCTACACGTCGCTGATCTCGAGGAGCTTCATGGCTGTGGAGTGCTATGTTGTGCCCGTGCGTGCACTGCACCTTCAAGTATCAACGTCCTTAGCCGCAGTCGATCCTGATCCAAACTCGTGTGTAAATATATATAATTATAGGTGTGAACGTATCCCGCGATCCTCATCCGATAGCCAGCTTTAAGCACGAGGTAGGCGAGAGGAGAACGGTCTTCGCAGACTCTCTCACCTTAGGTCATGCTGCCAAGCTAGAATGAGCTGACGACAGTGCCAGCTAGCATGCCGAGAGCATGAAAATGAGTTTAGGTCCTGTTTGATATAAAGTTTTTTTTTTAGAGTTTTAGACCAATGCCATGGTTTTTTAAAATACCTAGGTATCTAAAAGAAAGAAGGTGTTTGAATGTAATTAATTTGGAGTTTTAGAAACTACGGTATTAATAAAACCACAGTTTTTTTGGAGTCTAAAAAACTTGGTCCCAACCCTCTTTATTTTTGACAGAGCTTGGTGACGCGCGTCCATCTCTGGTGGCGTGTCTCTTTTTCACTGCTATTTTAGAGATACATACTATTTTTAACAGCATAGACACAACCAACTAGTCTTAAAAGCAACGTATTGTTGTGTAGCCAAACACGTCATGGCTTTTCTTAAATAGAGAAACACTGCGGTTTCTAAATACTATGGTATTACGTGCCTACGGTTTTTAAAACTGTGGTTTCATAATAGTAGAGTTTTAAGAAACAGTAACACCCAAAGGAGTTCAAGCATCCATTGGTATTATGCTGACTTGGAGTTTTGTCATGGCTAACGAAATCACCTTGATGTTTTCTTATTCTTTTTAGAGTGAAACGCACCCTGCCCTGGCCGTCTGAGCCCTTTCGCGTCACAGTGATTGTGTGGGCGTATTGTTTGCCTTCCACTTTTTTTGTAAACGCACAACAGATACACACACAGGCAACATATTTAAGTTGATTCAATCTCCTATCAATTTGACCTGATGTTTGGCTCGAGTCAGGCTTGGGCCAAACAAAAAAAATATATATCAGTTTTAATTTTTTGACTAACCTGAACCCGACTTGGCGTTTGATTATGTATAACTTGAACCAAGGTGGTTAAGATACATCCCTCCTACCCCCAACTACTTGTTTATGATGGTCCTCGTCCCATTGCTTATTTTTTTTATGAAAGTCCCATTGCTTATTTGTAAAGTATATTTCATAATGTTTATAAGATGTGATGTTTATATTGTAATAAAGGTTTGAAGGTTTGCAAACTGACTGTTGTTAGGTAAGTCCCAATATAATGAGAGTTTCAATCTAATTTAATGAAGCATCACATCTGTAAAATTGGTGACATGACATGTAATTTATGAAGTGAGGGATGATACGATTTTCATCTAGATTAAACCCTGTGTATACGGTTTTCAACACATTGGAAACCAAGTGGAACTCCATTGAGAGCATTCCATTTTATCCACATGTGTTGGAAACTAAATGAAACTCCACTGAAAAGATTTCATCTTATTATAACACTATGCAACACTTAGATGCTATGTTGAGCCTATAAAGTCATGAATAAAACTATGCAATGTAGGCCTTATTTTATTTCATCACCCCACAAATATTTAGCTAGCTAAGGTGTCATTTTCAGAAACTAGCTAGGTTTCTTGTGGTGAAACTTATCAACCGAATTCGGATCTTCAATTCGGCAGGGGTGCTCACATTTACAACTAATTATTATTTTTTAGTGGCTAGTATAGTAGTTGATACATGCCAGTTGCCGGTGAGGTGCATGTGTTGAGTTTGTCGATCTCAAAATTTGTCAACCTAGTCTCTCGAATGTGTGCTCATGAGGGTTGATTGTGTATGCAGGTGTTCGTAGGGGTGAGCGCTTGTGTACATGATGGTCTCTGTTTATACCTTATTTCAAAAAAAAAAAACCCTTCCTTGTACTAGCACCTACTGACAATAAGATACCGGGGCACAGGCTATATTCTTGGTAAAATATTTCATAACGTTTATTATGACTCTCTAATATCTACAACATGACAGATTTCAACCTTTCAGTTTCCTTCAAAAGTATTAAACATTTGACTTGAAGGAGTAGGCCAGCCACACCCTAGCTGACAAGTGGTGCATTTGCTTGTACATCCTTGGTGGATAGCAATCCAGCCCTTTTCAGTTTGGTTCCAAGGCGGCCTTCGTATTTTACACATATATTCCTTTCGTTTTTGGTCACTCCTTTTTTCTTTTACACACATATATTTCAGGGAAGTTTCCTTGGTGCCATATATATGTGGAGATGGAGAGCTAGCTGTGAACATATTGTAGCATCTACTAGTCCCTTTGTACTGACCTGGAAAGTGCTGCCCTTATTTGTGGAATGAAAAGGCTAAATGGGAAAAGGGGGAAAAAGGATAAAAAGGATAGATGAGAAGCTTGAGGGAGACCCACCACCTAAACCACCTTATAAACCCCTCTCTTCCAAACTAGTCACATGACACAAGCACATAACTCAGTTCTTTCTGCTGGCTACTAGGCTAGCTACTAGTTCCTCCTTCCTCTGATCCCCCTTTTCATCTCTCTCTCATCTCCTATTGATGTTTTCTCTGGTCTCACAACTTGAGAGAGACTTGTGAAAAGAAACCAGACAGAGGGAGAGAGAGCAAGAGAGATCATGTCGATGAGCTTCTTGAGCATGGTGGAGGCGGAGCTGCCACCGGGGTTCCGGTTCCACCCGAGGGACGACGAGCTCATCTGCGACTACCTCGCGCCCAAGCTCGGCGGCAAGGTCGGCTTCTCCGGCCGCCGGCCGCCCATGGTGGATGTCGACCTCAACAAGGTCGAACCATGGATCTCCCGGTGAGTATCCACAAGTCCATCGATCCGTACACGCATGCATCTTCTCTAAATAAAAGTGTAAAAGTTTGCTAGCTTTTTTCTGTCTTTTCTCTTCTTCGATGACTTTGCTTTGCACCAGTTGATGTCTAGAGAGAGAAAGAGAGATGGAGAAATTATTATTCCCCATGGACAACAGGGATCGTTGAATTTTTTATTTATTTATTCTTGTCCATGATCAAAATCCACAGCCTCTTATTTTTCTGCCTTTTAATTTATTGATTTCCAAAATGAATTAGCTATTTGGGATCCTCTGTTGCTTCAGCGTCAAGAAACACCATGAGTCCCCAATGTGCTGCTGTTCATACACTAAATTGCACCCTTCTGTTTTTTTTTCCGTCATCAGCGATAATATCGCCGTTACTACCTAAACCCTTAGAAATATATATTGATGATCTCATTTTCATACATATAATCATTTCCCTTTCTTCCTCTTCTTGATATTTTTTCTATACCTCTTTTTTTTTTTTGTTATGATGAACTTGTTGATGCCTCTCCTACAATAATTATCACTGCTAGTTGTCATTAAGTTGAGGGTCAAAATTAAGCAGTAGGTACACACACAATTGAAATACGTACACACTATGGATTTGTTTTTGCTCCTCTACTATAATTGTTTATTTTGCATATAATTACTTGTTTGTTTGTATGTTTGTTTCTGAACCTTCTTGCGGTGGTATAATATCAACGTCACAATCAGAGTACGCGTACTCGATATACAGAAGAAGGCTACAATAACAAGCTAAGCGAGTCTTTTTTCCAAAAAAGAAAGTACACATAGATGATAGATCTGCCTAAGTGCACTATATAGTACACATAGTTCTTGGCATTTCCAATAATTAAAGAATAATTGAAGTACAGATACATCTGCCTGCTTTAATTTTGCGTGTTAGATATGTTTGTGCTCATGTTATTTTATATGCAAGAGGACTGCATACACTACTAGCATTATTAATTAGGCAAATTTTTTGTAAAATAAATTTGTGCAATTTCATGAAATAGATATGTATAGTTATCAATTAGTATGAGCATATATGGGGGGACGACGATGTGACGGATACCGTGACGACATCACATGACGGAGAGTAAAAATATTCTCATTCCCATTTGGTGAGGGCCGGGGTAGAAAAATGCTCTCGCTTAGTTGTACGTTTTGGCATCCCCCTTATCTGCAACGAGAAAACGATATATAATATTCCATTTACTACATACTTTACGGCCAACTTTGTAAGGTGGTGTTCGGATCCAGTGACTAAAATTTAGGATGTGTGTCGGGAGGATATTGCATGGGGTGTTCAGATACTAATAAAAAAACAAATTACATAATCCGTCGGTATTTCACAAGACGAATTTTTTAAGCCTAATTAATCTGTCATTAGCACATGTTACTGTAGCACCACATTGTCAAATCATGGACTAATTAGGCTTAAAAGATTCGTCTCGTAAATTAGTCGCAAACTATGCAATTAGCTTCATAATTAGTCTATATTTAATATTCTATGCATGTATCAAACATTCGATGGGACAATGACTAAAATTTAGAAGGGACACCCAAACACCACCTAACTTCTGGTGGTCAAGGAATCTTCTCTCCAACCTCTTTCAGTTTGTGTCCAAAATGCTTTTCTGTTAAGGCCTTGCGTGCGTTCGTTCTAGATACTCTCATCAGCTAGCTTCAGTTTGAACTTATGAAACACTGAAACATATGCCATAATATCCTTTCCTTTATTATTTTTCGAATGATGATAGATGTTACTGGGTATATGGCTTGAGTAGTTCTTTATTCATGTACTGACTAGCTATATCTACAGCTAGTAGTAAGTACGTAGCTAGGGTTCATATCATCAGCTTATGTAATTAGAAAGGTTCGAAATAAACGTGTCGTGTGGTGGTCAAAAGCTAACAAGTTTCAGCACACACGTTTTCAAAATATATATGGTGGTTGGTTTATTTTATTTGATCATGCACAAAAAGGGCAAAAAAGAAGGATCCCTCAAAAGAAAACTGGATGGCGTCGCCCGGGTTCGAACCGGAGACCTTCAGTGTGTTAGACTGACGTGATAACCAACTACACCACGACACCTTTTGTTGTACCGTGGGTTAAAACATATTATTAGTATTATTATTTTATTGTTATCGATGTACTCAGCTCCTGCTGGCCTTTCAAATTATTAGTGCACGTCAGAAAGCAACAAACTGCAAATCACGTATTACGCATGAGATCTCAGATTCCTGTCGCACACACATGCATGACACACCCTCTGTATGCATGGACCGCACACGTGTCCCTCCCTCCCTCTTGTCAAATTGATGCCCGGATGCAGTACACTACTAGCAGAAGGTCCCAAAGCTATGGGCAGCAGGCAACACCCCCATGCTATTTCTAGCAGTGGCTCCAAACCTCACCATCCAGCATACTCACAGTGTGTGTGATTGTGAGTTGTGACCACAACGGCACAAGGTGGTCTGATCCATCAACAATCCAACATGCATGTTGATGTTGTACAATCACTGCCCATGAATAGCTTTTCCTACCGGCCAGGCCAGTACCAAGAATGACTTTTGTGAAGTGAAAAAAAGGAGAGGTGCAAGAAATGGAGGAGGCTGATCGAAATGTGTCCGTGTCACCGTCGAAAGATGCGCCTGTTTTTCGACGAAGGAAGCTTTTACTAAATTCTCAAGAGTATTACATCAAGTGATACATCAAGGCGTGGCCTCTGCCTATCAACAAACACAAACGAAAGAAATGAATAGAAAGATCGACATATTCTAGTGAGACTACCAATTTGTAAACTAGATCACCATATGTATTCATATGTCTGAGAGACCGCCCACGCCAATTGCTGCGAGACTGTTGAAACCATACTATATGTGAAGCTGGCTTCTGCAGGATAGCCTAAATACGTGGCCAGAAAGATGAGTGTCTACAAGAAAAACATAAAAACATCTCTACATACAATACAATATAAACATTCTCCCATATAGATCAACTGATCACTGAATTTGTGTCGTTTGCTTATTTCCTCTCTGACTTGGTGGCCATCCAGTTGCGGCATCCGTGGGGCCTAGGGAGTGGTATTTCTTCAGCCTCAAGGACAGGAAGTACGCGACAGGGCAGCGGACGAACCGGGCTACGGTGTCGGGCTACTGGAAGGCGACGGGGAAGGACCGGGTGGTGGCGCGGCGAGGGGCGCTGGTGGGGATGAGGAAGACGCTGGTGTTCTACCAGGGGAGGGCGCCCAAGGGCAGGAAGACCGAGTGGGTGATGCATGAGTACAGGATGGAGCCTGCTCTTGACCAATCCTACTCCTCCAACTCCAAGGTAAATATAATTCAGTTGTTGTACAATGTAATGTTCATTACTGCTAGCTACTAGCTAGTACACTTAGTTAAGTATACAATAATCTTATATATATAGCATTCTGTTTGACAATGTATTGGCACTCTTCATCATATTACTTATCATATAGTCCACTTGTCCACTTGTACTTTTAAGGAGTATCCAAGTTGTTTTGCTTGATCGTCCTTAATTTGTGCTACAACTTCTATAACTTTTTAGGACGGTTTGTCAAAATATATGTGTCAACTCTTTCTTTGTTTATAAATAAATAAATAAAAATAAATGTGCCATTTAAGGAGGTAGTGAACCAATTGGCTTTAGGCATGTCTCCCCAATCAATCAGAATAAAATTGATTGCATAGGTATACATAGGTACAGACTGTATGTGAGCTAGCTAGATTGCACATTTAATAATTCTATAAAGAGACGATTTGTAGTGTGGGCATATTTCCTACTGAACAGTCCTTGTCAAGACTTTTGTCACACTGTTCATATGAGATGGACATCTCTACTTGTCTCTTTCTCTACATTTTTTTTAATTATATGGAGTTCTTTATGTATATGGGTTTCATACTTAGCCATTATATTTTATTTTTTGATGGATGCTTGCCCATTATATTTCTTGAACATAAATGACCTTTTGCACCGGTCCATCCATTTGCATCAAGCAATGGAAGTCCTAAATTCTTGTAACTTTTCTTTAGCAATCATCAATATACAAATTTATGTAAATTTCATCATTGATCGCCTTCGACTAAATTAACAAAGTAAGAGATATATAAGTAGCTTAAAGCCTGAAACAATAGCTTATTCAAAATGAAGGCTTCAAATCAACGTTAATGTTAGTCACTAGTCAGTCCAAGTGATTAACGAGACTCCATTCAATGAACTAACCAATGCTTTCATTCGTCCTCCTCCTGTCACCAACAGGATGAAGATTGGGTGCTGTGCAGAGTCATCTGCAAGAAGAAACTAGCGGGAGGCGGCGGCAGCTCCAAGGCATCAAGGAGCCTCACCAGCAGTGGCGGCCGCGAGACCGTGCCAACCACGTCGCCACCACTGCCACCCCTCATGGACACTACCCTAGCACAGCTCCAGGCCGCCATGAACACCACCGGCGCCGGCGCAATCCAGCAGGTGCCCTGCTTCTCCAGCTTCAACAACATTGCCAGCAACGGCAACGGCAATGGCAACAGCGCTGCAGCAGCAGCTCAGTCATGCTACCTGCCCATGGCTACAGGCGGCAGCCATGGCATGAGCTACCTGGACCATGGCCTGCTGCCTGAACTGGGCGGCTGCTTTGATCCTCTCAACAGCGACAAGAAGCTGCTCAAGGCAGTGCTGAGCCAGTTCGGCGGTGACGTGGTGCCAAGCCTGCAGCATGAGATGGCCGCTGCCACTGCCACTTCCTCCACTTGGATGAGTCACTTTTAGGAAATTTAATTCAGCAAACCTAAGTATGTGATTGGTGATATATTGCATATATGAAACATATATATTCATATTGTGTGGTGAAACATTTGTGTGTGAGTAGTAGAGGATGCAATATTTTTTCTGCCTATCGATTCGGATGAGGCAAGGAAAATATTAGGAGTAAAACTCTGTAATGGCTGTTGAAGTGTGTATATTCAGATGCAGAAGTATGACATGAGTGATGAGGAGAATTTCAGATTGATCATTTTACTATAATTCACATATGACCTCTCTCTCTCTCTCTCTCTGAGTCTCTGTACATTCATAGTAACAGAACAGTGCCTGTGTATACATACAATAATTCAGAATGCAGAGGCTGCCATCCGGATGCAGTACCGGTCCAAATCCAATCATGCTATTTATTCAGGAAAGTAGGCATGACAGTCACATCTAAGCATCTCTTCTTTACCATCATCTTTCTTTTTCTGATGTATTGTTGCGATGACAAGCATACTAATCAAGCAGTAAGTTGAGAGTTCCTGGCTTTCCACTGCACTATTCCTGATATGCTGCTGGCCAACTGCATAATCAAGTGACCACTGACGACCTGTCACCTGTGCGGCCTCCATCCTAACTGATGCTCTTGCTGTACCTTATGTCATCAATACTGGTACTGGTACACATATAAATACACGTCCTGTACACCTCTCTCAATCGTCTTGTAACAGTAGGTAGGATTTTGCAAGAGCAAATGGCAGAAAAGAAAGAGCTCTCATCTCTGTTCTTGCATCAAGGTAGGCAGGTGGCAGCTTCTAGATACTGAAACGTCCCAGTCTTATCCATTCTTTTTCATGCCAGACTGCCAGTCCATCGCATGAACATATATCTAGACTGTGATTTGTCATATTGTTACACTACTGAGGTACAGCTCATCCGAAGCAAAAATGGAACTGGTGGTGAATTGGTGATAGCGCAAATTTACTATTGTAGGTCTGATGGGTTCATCATGTTTTCCTATTTATACCACTCTAAAAATTAAAATATATAAAAGGAAATATAATAGCTATATTCATATTTTACTCTTATACGTATAAGGTAATACCTCACCCTTTTCTATCCTATCCATTGAGACTTAACTAACTAAATGGATAACCCACATTTAGAAACATATTTTTTTTTAGATTACACGATACAACGTGGACGCTCACAAGTCACAACGCACGCACACTCACCCTTATGAACGTACGCACGCAAACCCTACCCTTATGAGCACCTTCGAAGATTGGACGACAAATCCTTAGGACGAAATTGACGAAGCACTGTAGGCATCTCGTTGTTGATAGAAACGTTGTCTACCACTGAAAACACAATGCCGTTATATCCTGAGTAGAACCAAGGACCTCAGATGCTACTGAGGCTCTTGTAAGCACTAGGCTACATGCCATTTCGCTTGTTTTTCTTAGTGCCACAAGCAAATTTACTATTCATTGTTTTTCTAAGTGCCACAAGCAAATTTACAATTCAAATTCATTTGCAGGGCTTTTGCATGATATCGTAAGAGTAAATTTTATAGGGCATTCTACCAGAAATTTAATCTCCACGTTGAGGTTTGACTTGTAGTGTGTATGGATGAGATGTATATCTTTTTGAACTTCATGACTCATTCCACATAGAAGCCTTATTCTTTTCCAGTGCAAGAAGCAGGGTCTAGGGAAAAACTTAATGCTTGTGCTAAAGGTAATGATATTGAGGTACTATTGAGGTACTGTACTCAAATTGGTTAATGGCAGTGCTTAAAGTTGGATCATAGATTGGTATTGGAGCATGAAATCCGAGAACAGAACGCAACTGGAGCATGAAATCCATGCCATTCAAGGATGGCTCATTGACTTCTTTTAATGGCCAAGTCCTTGATTATGGAATTGATCCAGTTTTATGAGAACTTCGATGAAGAATTCTAGAGCAACAAGCTCGTGCAAATAGGAAACCTGAATCCAAAAAATGATCCACATTGTACATATACCAATTATGTTGAAAACAATTTTGCATTGGATTATTGGGATATGCAATCAAAATAATTGGTATTGAGAACTAGCTGTTACAACTTAGAACGAAAATTGTACTCCAAAACCAAAGCAATATTTATGTAAGAATTGGCCTAACTAAAGATCCCATAACCAACTGCAGTTATTTGCTTGTGCACTCTTGGCACACCCATTTCAGGCCAAGCAACATGGAACAGTTTGACATCAAATTTGGCAGCATGCATGCACTCCATGCTGTGATTCAGCTCCCTCACATGTGCATCATAGAGAGGTTAATTCACAGTTGTGTGCCTTGATCACCAGAGTGAGTGAGATCCAACTGCCGAAACAGCGCATTGTTGTGGATGAACTGTCCTGAGACATGGACTACTTATTGGCCCGGGGAGCATTGAGCATTGGATGCAGCTGAAAGCAGGTTCAGTGCCAGCATGAGGGCGACGCCGGTGAACGACGACGCCAGCGCGACGCCTCCACGGCTGCAGAAGGAGCCAAACCTGTCGCATATCGGGTTCCACCGCGCGTGCACGTTGCCGTTCTTGCCTAGCTCCGCCATCGCCGCCGCTGTGGCCGTACCGGTCGCCAACAGAGCCATGGTCAACTGGACCAATGACAAGAGATGACAATAATGCCGTGTATGTATCCATATGAATTGACTGATGATGCAATGGTTTGAGATTTGTCAGACGTGCTACAGTGCAGGCATATGCAAGTACAGCAACAGAGGTTTCAGTCAAGCAACTAGCTTTGGACAGTGGCAATCCAATAGATTCCTGATTAGGCGGAGATTTTGTAAGTCTATAGAACACAATTATTACAAGGCTCCAAAGTTCTGAACACATCAGGTTTGGCTGGGTTATGTGATATACAGTGTATGTGACAGCGCTCGCATTCTCCGCAAGCAATCATCTCTAGCAAGCAAGAACATTTAATGCACATGCATGAAAACTGCCTTGTCTCTCTTGAACTCAAATGATTGGTTGTCAATGTGCTAGGACTGTTTCAAAGTTGATTTGTGATGAAGCTACTATATATTGAAATAATCTAAGTACTGTCTTTAAGTGAAGTATGGGCATATGGGAAGTAATGTTAGTATCAATCAATTAAAATAAAGGAAAATTTTCCTGCCAATGCAATTCTGCACAATCAATGCCATTCATTTAGTCCTAGTGAAAAAAATATCAAATATGCCATGATGACTTTGGTGTAGGGATGAAAACGATCGAAAACGATCGATAGGAGGACAAATCACTTTCATTTTAACATTTTTTTTTCTCGAAAACAAAATCGATACGATATTATCGGAAACGAATACAACACCAATATTCCGGTAATTTCAAAAACTAAAGTAGTCGATCGGAAAATACATCGATAGTGATCAGAACCTATAAAAACGATATCCTAAAAAACGATAAAAACGCCAAACCGTAGAACATGAGAAGAGCCATAAAACTAACCTATCTCACATGACAATAGTAATAAATAAAGCCACAATTGACAAGACCACAAGCTAAAACCATAATTCACACCATCTTAGGTCTCAAACAAGCTAAACCCCAGATTCCGTTCGTGTTCATGGTGACTGTCTAGAGTTAGGATGGTGCAGTACGTGATTGGTTGATTGCCTTTTTATTCCTATACGGATGAAATACTTACCGTATAGTTCCTTTTCACAAAAATATTTGCCTTATGTGTTTGCTTCTGCAGATGGGATGCTTAGATGTGGGTCAACTAGACCTAAAGTATATGCATTACACAGTCTATAAATAAATTAGGATTCAAGGCCTTATAAATTATCGGCTAAATAGTGTAATCTTCGAAAACGGTCGGAAGAGGATAAAATCATTTTCGCTTTCGTTTCCGATTATTTTTATCGTTATCGTTTTCATTTTTTCGATTACCGCCTCCATTTTCATTTAGGCCTGAAAATCAGAAAAAACTCGAAAACGATTTCCGAAAATCGGAAATTATCATTTTCGTTTTCATCTACTTTGGTGCACACAGGAATTCAGAGAAAAACCTCACCATGTCAAGCATGTGCACAACCAAACCAGCCATCCTCCGCCGTAGAATTAGGCGGCGGACGAGCAGCACCACGAGGTTATACGCGGCAGCAATGGCGTTGGCTATGACGAAGTACCTGCACAGACCATGCATCAGCACAGCACACGATGAAATTCGGCAGGAACATGCATGGGCGCATGGCATGGCATGATGGCAAGCCTGAATAGTGAATTCCCAGAGGCAGAGCGAGGCCTACACGAACGCAGGCGTGTCCCTGAACTTGGCGGTGAAGGTCTGCGTGAGGGGCCTGGTGCCGATGATGGCGACCACGGCGGTGTAGGACTGGGCATTGAGCGCCATCACCGCGGCCGCCGCCGCCGTGGCCAGGGCCGCGGCCGCGCGCAGCACCACCGGTTGCAGCGCGACGAGCCTGTCCCTGAGCTGCGGCCGCTTATTACCGCAGCAGGTCGACGTCGTCGTCGTTGCCGCAGCAACAGCCGGTGCAGAGGGCGGCGGCATCTTGCTGCCACGCTCGAGATCCATGGCGCGATCGGTGGCCAAGAAATGTAGACGAGCATTCAGTTGTTGGACGTGTGGGATTATTCAACAAACATTTGAGGCGAGATTTAAATGGTGCGTGGCTGGAAATTATGTGTTGAAAAAAGTGGCGGGCAATCAGTTTCCGCAAGTTTGGGTGACTTGTGTGATCGATGCTCGATTGGAAGAGCGTTGGTTTTGGGTTTACTTTAGTCTGTCTCAAATTGTTTATGTCCAGCTGATTAGTCAAAAAGGCTTTGGATAAGCTGGGACATGCATGTGGTACGTATGACAGTATGAGTCAGGAACATGAAGTGCCTGAGAAGAAACGTATGTTTCTGGTGCTGTTTCTTCAGGTTTTTGCAAAGTGGATTGGCAGAGGAGTGAGAGAGAAGCAATGATCAGGAGAGTGGAGAGAAACGGACATGAAATTCATAC